TTTCTATCCGTGAAAACTTCGATCGATCGACGATTCGCGGCGCGAATTTTCCACACATGATCGCGCCTCTTCATCCATCAAAATCTCCTACGTGGTTCCGTTGGATTTTTAGCGGGCTATGATCGAGTCCAGAAATCCATTTGTCATTCCACGCGTCTAGCTTCCTTTCGATCTTGCGGAGAAATTCGGCCCTCCTCCTTTCTCCGCCGTGAATCTGTACTGTTGAAAGCCTCCCCTCTCGAATCGAATTCAAGGTTTCTAGGTTCTTGGTTCCTTCTCTCTTTTTTTTCCTCCTTTTTTTCGTTTTTCGCCGGGTTTCATAAAATTGATGAATCTCGAGAGAGATCGTTGGATCGCTGCGTGAGAGGGAAACGATTTTTTTTTTTTTAATAATCACTTTCACAAAAAGTCACTAGTAACTGTAAGGAATACATTGTTTTTTTAGAATGTCAGGTCTTCTTAGTGGAAGTATTAAATTTTTATTCGTCGAATATTCGTGCAAAAGTATAAAGTGAAATGAAAATTGCAATTACAATTTCGAAAGTCATTTCAGTCGATCGGGTGAGAACCTATTATCCGTACGTTTCAAAATTATAATTAAAACATTGGAGTGAAGGAATTATTTATTAAAATAACAAACGAAGCAACTTGTTTTAAATAACAAGACAAAATAGAGCAAACAATTATTAACAGATGAGAAGGAACATTTATCAGCAACTACTTTTAAAATAGGATAACAATTGTAATTACCATTCTAAAATTATTATTAACAAATCTGGAAAAAATCTATTATCAGTAAAACGAGTGATCAGTGAAAGAACAGACCTATTACCTTAGCTATTACCGTTAGCGATATTAGCGAGTTGTGCTTGCTTGGTGAAGGGACGTTCGAAGGGAAGGAAAGGGGCGGAGGGTCGAGGGGCCAGGTGAAAATCGAATTTTTATCCAGCCGGTCCGTACAAAATTCTAATTTGACGTTAGAAACTGACGAGCAAAAGGGTGAAAAAAGAAACGATGCGGGGAGTTCATTTCACCCCTTGGGAAAGGATTTTTACGTATTATGCGCGCGCGTACCCGGCCTCGCAGCCGCGCACGAAAGGGTGAGACGAAGGGGTCGAAATCGTAGAAAATGATAAACAGGGTGAATCTTATTCAAATAGAAAGACAAGATCCTGGATTTGAGCCAGGAACCCCAGGATTCTCTAATGCGTACCTCCGTTTCTACCTGACCTGAGTCATGGGAAAAAGCCACGGGACATTCAACTTTTCCGTCGACGCTGTTTTCCTTCTCTTTCTAACACATTCGCTGTAGAGCCTAGATCTTCCTCTCAAGCTCGTAATGATTAACATTAAATTTTTTATTTCACGTTTCACTTTGTGAGGAATTAATACGATATACTGATGAGTTTCTGCATGAAAAATCTGTTTTCAGACTCGTTTTGTTTAATATCGAGCATATATAATTTGGATATTATATCCTGCGTATTACGTCTATTGTTTATGATAAAATGATAAAATTTTCAAATTTCTCTCATCGGAGAATGTAATGAATATTTTGGACATTTTATACATCTTTTTATTATGTTCATTGTTTACGTTTAAAAATTCCTATGTTTCTCGTAAAGTGCATAAATATCTGTAGTTTATTTATTTTTCTGTAATGTCAGATTTTAACAAATAATTTTTATACAATGCCTGTTGTTATATGTATATACGTGATATAAATTGATTACCACAATTTCGTGATTTTTACTCTGTCTCTCACATACAAGTCGATATTACACACTTTGTATCTTAACATTGTTAGCACTTTAGCGTAAAAATTTGTAGGTTTATTGGTAAAAATAAGTTAGATAAACTAAAATAATAAATACAATGAATAATTATAATTTTTACAAAATTTTTCTCACAATTGGAAATTAAAGATGTAAAGCAGTGTATTTTTGTAGGTTTACATGAAGTTTTCCTATTTTTTTTTTTTTTTTTTTTTTTTAATGTCTTTAATGTCTATGACGGAAATTTCACGCTTCAATCGTCGATAGTTCTAGCATTAAGTAAGCAAATGACAAAATAGATCGGAAATCTTTGTGGATCATCGAAAACATTAAAAAATTCTAATTTAACCCGAACACTCGAAATCAGATTCGTGAATCTGCAGTCCATCGGATGGCTCCGGCGATAGCCAGTTCGAAAATAATCTCGAGGAGTGGAAACGACGAAACGCAACGTGGCCAGGGGGGAAAAAGAGGGAAAGGAAGGTTAATGGATCCCTGGCTGGATCTTTCGTTCCGTTGGATCGCCACGAATGAAACCGACACCGCGTGCTCCAGGATATTCCGCCGCAGGATCAAGCAACTCCGTGTGCAGACAATATTACGATCTAGCGTCACAACCCGATCAAAAGCCACTGCCCTGCCTTTGGTAGAGAGAACCCCGAAAACCGGCTCGAACGGCTAAAAAAAAGGAAACGAGCCACACGGTATACTCGAAACGCGCGAGGTGTGGAGCTGGGTAAGTCCGAAAATTCAGAATCCCTTGAGAAAACACAGCTGGTGAGCAAGCAGGTAACGCGCGAGGGTTCCGTCAATCTGGAAGGAACATGCATGCACCGGGATGAACGAACTTTGAGTGAGATAGGAGAGAGACAGAGATAGCCATTGAATTACGACCAATGACAATCTTGAAGGATGTTGTGCGTATGTGTGCATAAAATTATCCAGAATTTTGCCATTACAATTTTGAAACATTGTTCGATCGTTTTTATTAGCCAAAGGAAGGTTTGAAGTTTGTAAAGCTAGTACAGAATTATTTTGTATAGTATAGAATGATCAACTCTTTATTTGATTGATTTGTTGACGTTTGAATTTTAAGTAAGATTAAGGAGGATCTTGAAGTTGTTTATTTGTAGTAGGTGTATTGTTTTGTGAAATTTATTTATTGTATATTGTTTTGTTAAAGGATGACACGATCGGTGTTTGTAATTGTCGAAACTATGTAAAACTATTTTATTACTTGACAAACCCGTTATCTTCAGATTTGTTGATTTTTCGTCTAATTGATAGACGAGAATGGTAATTTATTAAGTTGTTGCATATCAAGTATGCTATCCAACAAACATTTATTAGTCATCCGTTTAAAGTATAAATATAGTATAGCAACTTGTTTTGTCGATTGTCCAATTATAAATAATAAATTATCTGTCAAAGTGACGTTGAATTCAAACGCATCTAAATGCTTCTCATCTGATTAAAGCCGACAATACTGGCTTTTCTAAAAGCTATCTTCCATTGGCACGAGATTGGAAATTAGAAAAGACGATCAAAAATAATCAACCGACGATTGATTTAATTGCATAATTTTCAACTACTTTTTACTGTAACTCCACTGCAAAAAGAGAATATTAATTAGAACGAACGAAAAAAAAGAAAAAAGAAAAAGAAGAAAAGAGCAAAATTCTATAGAAAACCTTCAACCTGGCCAGACTAAACAAGCAAGCCTGAATTTGTCGCCAGCCCTCGAAGTCACTCTCGAGATCTACAAAGAACAAGGTTCGAGCGTCGCAATTTAACCGATCAGCCTTTCTACGTTGTCCGTCTCTCTTCCAATACTGTTCGGGTGAACAATAACGCGGCACAGCCGAAATACGCCGCCTCCCCTTCCTTCCCGTATCGTAACGTCTCGAACAAACTCACAAGAGAAACAAACTCGAAAAAAAGTCCCGTGTATAAAGCTAGGGCACAATGGCGGGCTACGCGGGAAATCGGTTGGCCGGCGATCGCCCAGCGAGATAAGGACCACTGCGGATAATATCGAAAACTCGGCCAGAACGAATGCGCAACAGTTCACGCATCGCGCTCACGCACACGCCGAGCGCACAAAGCGCGCTTGCGCTCGCGCCTCGAGCCAGCGCGACGTATACAGCTGTTACGTGGCAGCTGACGGGGAAAAAAAGGGGTTAAGAACCCCGGATAGTCGCGATGGAAGAAAGGAGAGAACACGCGCGCAAGAAGCAAGAGAACGGGACCGAAGAAGGGACGAAAAAGGGGTGGAGAGTGGGAGCGGATCGAGAGGAAAGAGTGAATGAGTGAGTGAGTGAGAGTGAGAGAGAGAGAGAGAGAGGATGAGGCCCATTGAATCCCGTTGGAGAAGCAGGGTTACGAAAGAAAAAGATCTGCTATGGGCAAGCTTCGCGATTTCTGGATTTCCGCGTCTTTAGTAACCCGAGAAGCGAAAACAGTAGGGCAGGTAGAAAGGGTGGAACGACGGCGAAGGGGGGTCGAGATGTCGAGGGAGGAGGAAATCGAATATCCCTCCTGTGAACCCTTTGAATCTGTCGCGCTGTTTGAATGAGGAGGGACCAGTTGGGGAAGACATACAGTTGACAGAGGGAAGGAGGAGAGAGGCAAAGAAAAGAACAAAATTGCGCAAGATGTCATCTTACGACCGTTCTACCGCTTTCCCCTCCCCTCTCCCCTTCCCTGTTGAATCAGGATCGCTCGATTCTTACGTTTCGTGTATTTTCGGTAAAATTCAAGGATCTTTAGTTAGAACGATGTATCGATAATTAAATATTTATATTGATATTGTACGTATGTATAACTAAGTTGATAGACATTGATAAGTTTGTATTAATACAGACATTATTGAACATTGTTATTCTAAAATTTAATCAATTACTTTCGTTTTAAAAACTGATAATTTTATTTAAAAAAAAAAAAAAAGAAGAAATACACGGAGGAAAATGATAAATAAGAGATCGAGTTATCGGGAAAATATCACGCGGTTACCGAGCAATTAAATAAATGTCACAATGAATGTTGATTCATGAAAATAACATCTCAGTGAATATTGATAACAATCTAATTATTTCGACTTTACAAAAGTTCGAACGAGACGAATTCTCGTCGTCTATCACAATTTCTCACGATTATCGTTGCATTAGCAGTTCGACACTGTATATATATATATATATATATAATATCGAACTGTTTCTTCGAAGTGGCAGTTTTGTTTAGTTATTCGACATGTCCCATTCGTATCGGAGCTGCCAAAGTGTTTCAATGGCAGTATACGGCTGATAGTTCTCAAGAATGTTTCTATAGCTCTATTTCATCCACTTTATCCACGCTAACGATAACAAAGATTTTACAATACAAGGTTAGTCAGAGCGTGGAGATCGCTATGAGAAACTTGCACGCTCCCACGCGAAATTCACAGGCCCGATCGTCATTGCCAGCGAAATATTTAGAGAAAGACACATCACACACTCTCGTTCACATAACGAAATCAAGATGTGATTACGATACACACTGGGAATGATCTGGCCATTCGCGATTGCGAGGAGTATACTATAATCTTAACTTCATTGCTGCTTTCTAAACCTTTTAAATAATTCATACGAAAATTTTGTCCTATTAAATCTCTACACCACCGTGTAACTTTGAAGTCACATACTGATATTTCAATGTAGAAAGAATATTTTGAATTTAGTTTCATTTTCAGTGGCAATAGCATCTCTTCTTTTGGAATAAAATTTTGAAGAGTTATAGATTCATTGTTACTTTATATCTGGAGGTTTCGAGATATTTCTTCCTATTTACCAAAAAGACGTGGTATTTTATTTCGAAATTTCTTCAATTTTTCACTAAATGCCACCCATGTTTTATATTAGTTCGTGGAATACATAATCAACTAATAATTTCTCAACATACACAAGTCAATACTTTTTCTTTATAGAAAATATTGAGCTTCATCATAGATTAGCTTAGCACCGAAAAGTATATAATTCCATTTTTAAGGAAGTCTTAGGAGTCTCAGAGAAATCCTACTATTACAAATATCATGGTCTCTCTGCGTTGAATAACTTTTCTTATTAACAAAGTTTCCTCAAAACGGAGATAATTCTTATTGGACTACTACAAATCAAAACGAAATCGTACTCGTTTTGTACAAATCGAACAAGTGTCCGGTGACTTGCGGCCGTTACCATTTCTTCGTCACCAGGATTGCCAGACGAGGCGAGTGTTGTTTGGGTAATTGAATTTGGACAGCCTCGAATGGCCGAGAGGGACGGTTCACGGGCGGAGTGTCTGAAAAATCTCGCGTCAGAGGCCCCCGAGGCGTGATCCACCGCTCGAAACGTGACTCGCGTGAAATTCCCGAGATCTTGCCAAGGCCTCGTAGAAAAGGAGAGAGGGGGCAAAGGAAGAAGACGAGGAAGAAGGAAAAAGAAAGAAAAAAGAAAAGAAGAAGAAAAATCCTGTTTCGGGGATCGTGGATCGGCTTAGTGTCGTCTATGGATCTAACCGTGTACGAAACGAAAGGATCCAATGCTCTGAAAGGAAGGAGTCACTGTAAAAATAGGTCGAGATAATGGAAAGCATTGAATGGATACACGTGTCCCTGGGAAAGAGATAGAAAGAAAAATCCTCCAGATTCTTTCTCCCCTCGTCAATGACTTTTACAATCTTCTTCGAACATGTTCTCCTACGGTCTCAGCTCTTTCGTGTCTTAAGTTGGCTATCGTTGACGTAGATGCGTGCACGGAACATTTGAAAGACGATGACGTACGATTCAGTTCATAATTAATCAAGATATATCCGACATATTATTAAACGTTGTTTGAAGCATTAAATGTTAGCCGAACCATTGATCTAATTTTAAATTAATGATTATATTTTGCGTTAATATAATGTAATAATAAATACATTATTAATAGATATATTTTTACTACATAATGTAATGTAATATATTAACGTATCATTGCAATACATATGTTAATCATACTTGTGTAGAGGAGATCTAATTTTAAATTAATAATTATATTAGGTGTTACTAGTAATACATTAAAATACTATATTATATTATGATATGATAGTGAATTATGTAACAGTATGTGTATCAATTATATTATCTCAGGAATATGTGTCTATTTACCAATTTAATATAAATTAATGGTAAATTCCAGCTATTTAGTCGAAATCGATTTATCTCTTTCTGTTGTTTCGAAGTAATTTAATTTGAGAACTTGTGGCAGTAACGAATCCAGTCTGCCGTTCGTTGCGCAACAATGGCAACCATTTCTCCCTGTAAGAAGATGAAAAATCCAACGACGCCGGATTGAAATTTCGACGTTACGAATCAACCAACGTATATATATATTCTGAAATCTAAAATTGTAAAGAGAGCGATAAGTGGCGACGGGGCCATGTGCGCGTTCCTTTCTTAGGAATGGACCGCGAGGAAGAGGGATGGATGCACGGGTGTGTCTGCTGTTTCTCAAGCCTCCGCTATCTCGTCGACTTTTCGGTGTCTGAACGCCACCAAAAATGACGAATACGACGAAGAAGAGGATGGTTTCTGGTGGGTGATAGCACGGCCAAAATTACCGCGTTCTCAGTAACTTCAACTCGATCAGAAAGCTCGAGAAAGAGAGAGAGAGAGAGAGAGAAAACGAGCCGCAGAATTAATTGAATCGGCTGGTGGGTGCTTGTGTACGCTTGTGAAACGAGGCTTCGAGTGGCGGCCAGGGTAGGAAGAGAGGAAATTTACAGTCAGATCGCAGAAGTGGAGGATTTCTCGGATCGGAAGAGCCACTAGACCACGCCGCGCGAAAGTGAGAAGTCAGTGTGCGGGGGTGTTCGAGAGAACGAAGGGGAGAGGCTGGTCGACACTGGAATTTAAAGGGCGAGACAGGGTGCAACGAACTCTCGAATCGTTGGCCCCTGGGCTCGAGTGATTTTCGTCTGTCGAGATCAATCTTTCGGGACCGTGAGACAAATCTGAGAACACGTTGTTTAGATTATTAAACGTAGAT